CTCGCCTACATCGTCCATATAGGACGACTCGGGAACTCAACTCCTACCCCGGGCAGCTCACCGATCCCCTTATGCCCAGGGGAAAGGTATCAAGCCGTTTGACAGCAGATGCTGGCTGTCAAACCGGCTTTTACGCGAAACAGGCGGGAGGCAGCAAACAGCTGCGACCAGCGAAATCGCCTGCCACCGGAAGTCTCCCCTTAACCAGCTCCATTAACTTTACTATCCACTCTTCAGTTGTAGGTAATGACAAATCTTTCCAAATCTTGTGCATATGAAAGTCTTGTTACTGTTATCATATATAAAAACTAAGTTCCATGAATTTTTCCAACTGCGTCTCTACAGGGAAAATATCTGATTTCTATTGTATATTATCTTTAATATCATCTGAATTAATGTTACGTATTTGATTTCAAAAAATTTAAGCTTTTTTACATGTTCCCTCAGCTTGGTAAATTATATTTCCAACATACTTCAAAGTATCTTTATACATTTTAGATAATTCTTCCAGTGACAGATACCAACAATACATCATTTTGTTAAAATAAATCTTTAGATAGTTTATCATTTCATAAAAAAATCTCCAAGCTTTTGAGTTGTCCAAAAGTCTTCTGGAATCTGTATATTATTTTGATAGCTTGGATTTAGCCTATTTAGCCTATTATTTTGATAGCTTGGATTTAGCCATCTCTGTCTGTCTGTCTGCCTGTCTTTCTGTCTGTCTATCTATCTTTGAGTATATGTTTGTGTGTGGGGATTGATCATATTTATTATATTGACTAGCTTAGTTGACTATGCAAAAAATATGATTGATTGTAAGTAGGTTTTCTGCTGATATCTATTTGAGGCGAAGGCATCGATCAAGCAGCAGTTCTTCGTATGGGTCCAAAAGAAAACGGAGCCATAGCCGATCAAGAGCACAAGGAAAATCATATCGATCTCAGAGATCAAGATCAAAAAGCAGATCAAGAAGGTATGACAGTTTTGCCCTGGGAGAACCCAGATAATACATTTTTTACTTTGCACTTCCAAGTCTTAATATCCCATGATTTGGTAATTAGTGATTTTATGTTAACTTCAAGATTATAAATATAACCACAAATGGTTGAAGTATTTTGATTTTTATATACTTTTAATATTGTGGTTTAACTTGGGAGTTCCCTAGTCCATATGTATATATTTGATATAAGACCAGTTTGGTTACAACATCCATTATACAAAGCACATGGTGACAGCGTATATAGGTAATATCAAGTTAAAAAGTAATCACGTTGCTGGGTATTATTTGCTAGAAAAATTATTCATTTGAATATTTTGCTTAAAATAAAGTAAAAAGTACTTAACTAATGCTCATAAGTAATTTTCATTAAAAAAAAAATACTTGGCGTTTTATGTGTTATCAATGCAGTTATGAAACTGCAAATATTTTGTGAACCTGAAATTCAAAATAAATATATCAAAATAATGATACCAATTAATTTGTATGAAAGCTGAAATTATGTAATACTCATATTAAATATTGATCTTCTGCAGAATCATGGTATTTATATTATAATTATTTCAGAATAATAGTTAATAATATATAAAAATAGAAAACTATTTGAAAATATGCATTTTATACAGATCTAATGTTTTATTTTGTGGCAATACAAAGTTATTAAGTACATATTAAATAAAATAGAAATTATTTTTAATGTTAAGCATTATGATTGCATGAGGAACCATTTGTTGCAAGAGTACAGTGATAATGAATACTACAAAATACTTGAAGTTATTTTGTATCATAGGATTGGTGAGATCCAGCTTTTCTATTCAGGACTTCGATAGACTGCTTACTAAAAATTTATGTACAATTTCATGGAGAAGAAAAATCAAGATAGAGTGCATTCAGATCTTGTGAATGCTTTTAGAAGTATAAATTGGATGAAAATATAATCTTATGGGCTAGTTTGGAATTCCAATTATTGTAACTGTTACAAACCTCTTCATTCATACCCATAGGTACATGGTAGCTATTTTTATTAGGGTGTGTTCTCTCTTGAGGCATTGACGTGTAGATGGCGTGAATTGGGGAGGAAAGATTTGCAGTATGCTTTTTTTTTTTTGCTTATATGCTACTCAGTTTCCAAAGATTTGGATCAGCTTTTAAATAACACAAAAGACAACATAAAAATTATAATAAATCAAGAACTTAGCAAATGAAACCTTGATGCATCTCCATTTGAAGGTAGCAAAACATCAGTTTTCATCAAATGCTTTTCTGAAGGGTGCAAGATTGGCCCAGCATATGTTTGCGGTGTTAACACATTTACCATAATACCACAAGAGCATTAAAGAAAAGCAATGTTCTCATACCTGTGTATCTGTTATTAGACATTTGCAAATCATTCAAAAGTGTACTTTGTATATCCTCCAGCATGTCCTGAAGCAGCTTCTTTAAAGGTGCATCTTTGATAATGGATCTTATTTCTGAGATAAGTGACTCCTGGTAAGAGAGCCACTCATGAGAACTGGGAAGAATGTTTAAGAGGTGCTTTGTAAGTCTGATCTAGAGGGCCTTAAATTGAATATTGGAAAAAGGAAAACAAGAGCTTGGAAAATAATACAATGTGAAGTACTGAGAATAAGACTGGGAGTAAAAACATAAGTCAAGAATTTTTCTTTGTATGTAAAGCATGCAGGGAAGATAGAAAGAACAAGTCTTAATGCAGGAAGGCAAATGCAACTTAGCATGTATTATTGATGGGACAAAACTGATGAAGGGATACAAGTTAATCAAAATAAACTGGCCAGTCAAAATGGAAGGAGATACAGGCAGTCCCCAAGTTAAGTACAACTTTCATTCCCTAACTCTGCTTTTAACTTGAATTTATATTGAAGTCAGAGCTTGGATTGCCTATTACTAAAAATGGCGGGCAGCACTGTCCTTCCTTGAGTCAACAAAGTGCTGAGGCTGCACAGTGCTTTCAGGAACCCCTGAAAACAGACTGTATATTAAAAACACATGGATTCAGCGGTTCCTGAAAGCACTGTGCAATTTCAGCACTTTCTCAAATTAAGAGAACACTTTTTGCCATTTTTAGTAATAGGCAGTCTGTTTGTATCTATGGATTGTCCTTGGTGTGGACTTTCATAAGCCAGGGATTGCCTGCAATTTTGAGGCTGCCTGGCTCTATAGCGACTCTGGGCAGCTTAGACATAAAAATTGAAAGAAAAGTACAGTATATAAAAAAAGAAAAGAAAATGACAACTAGAAGGCTGGAAACAAAACAATAATCCAAAGAGCAAAAAAAATAAAGGGGCTCTGGATAACGCACTGGATAATATAACTTTTAATGAGGAGAGAAAAAGTAACAATGGAAGATTGTTATTATTTGGTTTTTGGAAAACCAAGTCAGCTAGGACTGCAAGATCCTAGAAATTGCTCTATGGTCTCACTAATTGTTTCATTTTCCAAAAGGTTGAAGGAGAGACAAGGGGATTGGCTTTCCTAGATATGATCCTAACCATTAGGGAAGAGCTGGTTGAAGAGCTTGGACAAGAGAAGATTGTGAAGAGACATTATAGTTCTTCAAGTATCTAATGGACTGTTTTAAATAGGCAGACAAGAAAAAAGTAGTAGACTTAAATTATACTGAAGTACATTTTGGTGAGAGGTCAGGAAAAAAAACTTTGTTATTCATAGCAAATAATTGTATCTATAACATTGTATATATTTGTGGACTATAAATAGTGGCATATAAACTGGTTGAATAAGTTAATAAGCGGTCATTTTTCAGAAATGAACATCAGCAAGAACATAATAAATATCAGTAAAATTTTTGCTTATGTGGAACAAGCCCTATAAGGAGTTGAACAAGGTTATTTGTTTATTAATGTCTATGTCATTACAAATTGAATAGGTGTGTATTTTCAGCAGATATTTTATCTTGCTCACTTGCTATTTTCTATGTCAGTTTTTATATTGTGTTTCTTTTGAAAAATATGTTTTAACTTACTTGTTTGAACAAAAAACTAACTTTATAAAAGCAAAATAAATTGTAAATTTGTCCAAATGATGATATGGTCTTTATAGGTTTACTTTTGTTTTGTGCCGTTTTATGTTAGATAATTTGTCTTCCCATTCTTACATTCAGGCTATATAAATGGCTAGTACATTGATTTAACATGTAGTATTGAACACTCAGATTTATCTGCATTCTAGTCATGGTAAATTTAAGAGATTCAGATAGTGGAGAGAACAATTTGGGTGTTCAGTGAAAAACCTTTTCTGATGAGAAGTATATTATTTTACTTACGGCCTATCACATTTCTAAGACTTGCCTAATTTAAAAAATAAATATTCCCAGTTCATATTTAGCCATCAAGAATTATTTAAAATAAGATGTGTTTTTTTCTCCTAAAAGTAGCTTGGACTACCTTTCTAAGTGGGATTTTACTTTTGAGAGAAAGAAATTTTGTATTTCTTTGAATTATATAGCCTTTCTATCTTCTCATATCTGAATAGAATTGGCTAAGTTTGAGATGGGCAATTTGTGATTCTACAAATGCAGTAAGTTAGCCTTGTCTTAACAGATTTGTCCAGATAATGGTTTATTTGTTTGAATACAGAACACTGACTCCAGATTAAAAATCACAAGATTTTTCATTTGGTATGTTTTTAAGGAGCTATGTACTGCATTGTCATATTTTTCTTACAGAAATTAAGATTATAAATTAAGACAAACTAGTCTGTTAAGCCAGTAAATCATTATCAGACTGTTAACTCTTAATTATCATCTTCTGTCCTTTAACTATTTTTCTTTTATCCAAAGATGAATGTTTGCACTGTAGTTATTTATTCTATTTTAAATGGAATCTGAATCAAGAATGAGGTTCTCTATAATACTATAGATTTATAATTGTCTTTCAATAAAACAAGGCTGTGCGAATAATGTAAAATCACAAACCAAATTTTCAGGAGAACAACCACATTTACATTAAATTAATAATTTTAAAATAGATTTAGTTTGTTTTACTGGCATTTGCTTAATAACATTTTGTTGTTTGCAATCTTTTTAAACACAATAATTCATCTGAGAAATACAGGCACATTGTCAGCAGAAAAATTGAAAGTAACAGCTCACTTTCTGAAACCCCAGATATAGTGATATATAAAAATTCAGCTCTACAAAATTTAATAAATCATCCTATTTCCTAATTTGATCATATTAGATGCTGATGTGGAAGAAGCATTTCAAATGCCATCTCCTCATTAATATACATCAGTCTGGGGAATGGAATAGAATACTTATGTGGAGATGTCACAGTTAGTGTTTCTTAGTTTACTAAGTGGAACAGGTTGATGTGATACTGAGTGCTATTTGTCAATGTCTTGTTAAAATGGTTTGGGTCGAGTTATGGAGTCCAGAAAGACGGTGGCTGATAAATCAAATGTGGATTGAGTGGACAGGAGGCAGTGATTGATACTCTGACAGGATATGAAGAAAGGAATCTTGATACAAGCATGCACAATATTGAATATGAGAAGGAAAATGACCCTAGAGTATGGATATTATTCAAGGAAATGAGATTAATAATATCAGTTTGAAATTATTGCCATGTGAAGATTAGGATGCGGCAGTTCCTTTTATAATGTTATGGATTTCTTGGATGGTATCATTATAATTCTGTATATGTTATACATGCATATAATACTGAATTATTCTTGGTAATGTTTTAATTATTAACTTGTGTTAATTGTGCCAGTTGCATTCTTCATATTGCATGTAGGTGTGGCATTATTTAATTCTTTGAATTATAAAGGCTTTATTTGAATTAAAGCAACAATGTTGGAGCAATATTAATCTTTTTAAACGATTTAAGCTCCAGTTATAACTTGTATTTAATTGCATAATTTATATAAAATATGCTAAAGTTAACACTTATTTTAGAAAATTATATTGAAAATATATCAGTGAAAGCATTTGTTTT